GCCGGGCCGAGGCCAGACCCCAGGCTGGCGGGGGAGGGGACTCAGATGTGAGTCACCCGGGAGCCCCCAGTCGACCGTGGGAGACGTTGTCATGCGGGGCCTGCCCGCCTCGTTCCTAAGCAGCCTTCCTGGGGCGGCGGAGTCCTGCAGGCGGCCGTGCCTGGCGCACAGGCGTGGCTCCAACACGAACTAGCCTGTGGCCTCACCAAGCCTCAGTTTACCCTTTTGCATAATGCACATAAGCATCCCCCCTGCTTCTGAGGTCTTGGATTAAATCATCCATGAATCGGGAGGGGTGGAGGGTGCCAGATCCGCACCACGCTCAGTGCAGGTCAGCGCCCACCCCGGAGTGAGAAATAAAGGTGGCCGTCATCCTTGCACGTGGGCCTGGGGTGGCGGCGTGCAGCTGCAGCCTGCACCATTCCCCCCAACAATGGCTTTCTCCTCGGCCTGGAGGCCTCCGCACGGGCAAAGCCTGGAACGCCAGGCAGCTGGCGGGGGCGGGGCCACGCCACCTGCACCTCCCACGCGCACCCCACCCTGAAACTCGCGGGGTCGGCGAGGGGGCGCCCGCTTTCTTCTCCAGAGTGCCCCGGGCTTTGCAACCTCCCACTTTCGGGGCCCTGGAGGAGGCCTCCTGCGACCACCAGGTGACAGATGATGTGTACTGAGCGCTGTCAGCCGTATTTTATGTCATGCTCTGCAAACCAGCGAGGCCGGCGCTGCAGCCCCATTACTCAGACAGGAATATAGAGGCCGGGAAAAGCGAAATCACCCAGGGGCTGGGGTCGCCGCAGCCAGGAGAGACTCCGGTCATCACCACGACCTGGGCGAGATCAGGCTGCAAACGGGGCCCCTTCCCGGTGCAGCCCCTCCACCCCCAGCAGAACTTGGGAAAGGCGCAGTCCGGGACTCTCCGCGCATCGGGAGGGGATTCCAGGCCCCCCCCAGGCGAAAGTCCGGGCCGCCTCGCGCGCTGGAAATCCCGCGCGCGCCCCGAACCGCGGCTCGGCTGCCGGGAAATCAGGAGAAAAAAACTTCTGCTTTTTTTTTTTCTTTTCTGGCATTCGCGGTCACCTACCCGGCCCCCGCGCGCCCTCCTCCCGGTTCTCGCCCCCACGTGGGGCGCCCCCACACGGCGCTCCGCCCCCTCCTCGCCGTCGGCCAACCGCAGAGCTGTCTGCACTCTCCGTTGTCCTTCCACCAATAGGAGGGGTGAATGACTCCACTGAGGCCACGCCCCAGCAGTCAAGTCCTATAAAAATCGGTGCCGGAGGCTCCCCGCTCACATCGCCGAGGCTTCGGACTACGGTTGGTTTCTGAAACTTGCCGGATTATTTTCGCCAAGGATTTTGCAACATTTTTTTCCGCCTTTTCTGGAAGGATTTCGCTGCTTCCCGAAGGTCTTGGACGAGCGCTCCAGCTCCGTGGGAAGGTTTTGGGCTCTCTGGCGCGGATTTTGCAATTTCTCCCTGGGGACTGTCGTGGAGCCGCGTCCACTGTGGATTATAATTGCAACATGACGCTGGAAGAGCTCGTGGCGTGCGACAACGCGGCGCAGAAGTAAGTAGCCGGGGCCGCCGCCGTCTGAGGTCGGCCGGGACGGGATGGGTCGGGTTGGGCCGGGCCGGGAGCGGAATGTAGCACCCGGTGGTCCGCCCGTCACTGATCCCTCTCTCCTGGCCTCAGGATGCAGACGGTGACCGCCGCGGTGGAGGAGCTGTTGGTGGCCGCTCAGCGCCAGGATCGCCTCACAGTGGGGGTGTACGAGTCGGCCAAGTTGATGAATGTGTGAGTCAGACCCCCTCCCCGGGCCGGGCGCGGGTGGGACGGGACCTCCCCTCCTCTCTGGACGCTTTCCACACGCTTGTCTCGCATGGGGCTGGGACTTCCCCAAGTGCCACCCGCTGTGGATGCAGAGCTTCTCTGCTGTTTTGTGGATTGGGGGCTGCCGTATCCTGATGCATCGTCTGCAAGCGCCCCTCCCGCTGTGGGCCTGTCTCCCCACACCCCACACTTTGAACCGTGTGCCTTCCCCGCCCCCCACCGTCACCAGCTTGCAGAGGCAATCCCCTGCACCCCTGCAGTTTCTCTTTTGCTCTTGCACGCTCCTTTTTTTGCAAACTCCCCCTGCACGGTGGCCTCTCCCCTGTTCCCGGCTGACCCACCGCTTCCCTTTGGCCCCCTCAGGGACCCAGACAGCGTGGTCCTCTGCCTCTTGGCCATTGACGAGGAGGAGGAGGATGACATCGCCCTGCAAATCCACTTCACGCTCATCCAGTCCTTCTGCTGCGACAACGACATTAACATCATGCGGGTGTCGGGCATGCAGCGCCTGGCACAGCTCCTGGGAGAGCCGGCCGAGACCCAGGGCACCACTGAGGCCCGAGACCTGCATTGTCTCCTGGTCACGGTGAGTCGGGCCTCTGCCCTGACCTGCCACGCCCGGGCACCTGGGCCGGTGTTTGTCAACAAAGTCGGGCTGACTGGTCCTGCACAGCTCAGCGTTCAACCATGCTTGGCATGTCCCGTGGGCAGCCGGGCTGGGGCCTCCTCACCCAGGGAGCTATTTTGAGCCTGCCTGTTTTCCCCACACATGGGGCCCCGGGAGAGGGAGGCTCCCACTAAACCCCTTCTTTTCCTCTCCCACAGAACCCTCACACGGACGCCTGGAAGAGCCACGGCTTGGTGGAGGTAGCCAGCTACTGCGAAGAAAGCCGGGGCAACAACCAGTGGGTGCCCTACATCTCTCTTCAGGAACGCTGAGGCCCTTCCCAGCAGCAGAACCTGTTGAGTTGCTGCCAAAAACAAAAAATAAAATAAATATTTGAACCCCCCTCCCCCCCAGCACAACCCCCCCAAAACAACCCAACCCACGAAACCATCGGGGGCAGAGTCGTTGGAGACTGAAGAGGAGGAGGAGGAGGAGGAGAAGGGGAGTGAGTGGCCGCCCCCAGGGCGGAGATCGGGGAGCTGGCGGCCGCCGATCCGATGGAGGAGAAGTGGGGACCCAGGCCAGCAGGAGACAGGACCCCGGAGCTCAGGCCTTGGGATGGAGCAGAAGCTGGAGTGGCGGGGCACGCTGCCGCCTTGTCTATCACGGAGGGTCCAGACTCTCCACTTGAGGGTGGAATGAGACTGACTGCAACCCCCACCCTCCTTGAGACTGGAGCTGGCGTCTGCAGACCAGAGACCTGGTTGAACTTGGTTGGTGCTTGTCTGCACCCTCGACAAGACCACACTTTGGGACTTGGGAGCTGGGGCCGAAGCTGCTCTGTACCCATGAACTCCCAGTTTGCGAATCATAGAGACAATCTATTTTGTTACTTGCACTTGTTACTCGAACCACTGAGAGCGAGATGGGAAGCACAGATATCTATATTTTTATTTCTACTATGATGACCTTGTAATAAATTTCTAAAGCTTCTGGGTGCTTGTATGTTTTCGGCTTCTGAGAACAACCGGGACCCCTGCCCCCTCCCCTGGGACACGCTTCACACCCCCCCTCCCCACCTCTCCTCCGCAACCCCTGCCAGCTCACCAGGAAGTGTTACTCAAGCCCCTGTTAGCAGCTCCAGGCTCCCGTGCGAAACAGTACCTCTTCCCTGCAGCAGGCGCCTCCACCGACTCCAACAAATCTATGCCTATTTTTTTTTTTTTTTTCTTCTCCTCCTACCCTGTAGCAATTAAGAGACCGGTTTATTACGAAACCTGGCCGCCGTGCCACCGCTGTTACTGGCTGTGCAGGAGCCAGCCCTAAGCTCTGGGCACATATGGAGGCATTTCGGCGGGAGGGGGTGCTGGCTGCAGCCCCTGATCGCCCCGGCGGCCGCCACCGCAGCCCAAGGTCCAGAGCGGTCAATGGGGCACCTGGGACCACACAGCGAGGTGAGCTCAGGACTTGAAAGGAAGAGCTCCTTTGGAGGATTCCGCAGGGAGTGCCCCGCACCCACCACAGCCGTCTCCATCCCAGGATAGGCCTCTCTTTTGCACTAAAGAAAAGAACTTTTTTTTTTTTTTTTTTTTCCGCAAACTAAAATCAACAAGCAGAAAAATACCCCAGGAAGTCGGCCTCCGGGCCAGCTGGCCTTGGCACAGTGCTGCGTTTTGCCTCTAAACCGAAACTGCGAGCCCTGGCCAGCCACCTCCTACTTCTCCCAAAGTTGCAGGCGCGGTGGTGACTCCCCCTGCCCCGGGCTGGGAGCGTGGCCCAGCCCTTCCGTGCCCGGCCTCAGTCTTCCCGCCCCGGGTCTGCAGGGTGGGCCCGCCCTGGCCGGGCGCAGGGACGACCTTGGCTCCCCTCTGCCATGCAGCCCCAAGCCTGAGAACTAAGGAGGAGTGTGGAGAGGGTGGGGTGGTCCTGCCCGCAGGCCGCGACCTTTCCACGGAGCCTCACGTGGGCGCATGAGGAAAACCCCAGCGGCTCCCTGGGAGTCACGGGGATCGGGGGAGCCCCGGCCGGGGAGGGCGAGAGAGGGAGGGGGAAGTCCCAGAGGGAGAAGGGGGGAGGGGGGAGGGGATCCCGCCTGGGGCTAGGAGGAGGGGAGAACTGAAGTGGGGAAAGGGGAGCCCAGAAGGGGAAGGGGAATCCCCCACAGCCCTGAACCAACAGGGAAATCCCGGGAGGGGGTAGACAGGCAGCAGGAGTCCCGAAGGGGTTGGAGGAGGGGGGAATGGAGGCGAAGAGGCGGGAGCCCCGAGGGAGTAGGGGATGATGGGGTGGGGATCCCTGAGATGGCGCCCAAGCGGGGAGGGCGCCTGGGAAGGGGTACAGAGGGCGAGGGGCTCTTGAGGGATTGGGCTGCAGGAGAACATGGGGGGCCAAAACCCAAGGAGGGAAGGACCAGGTGGGGCAAGGGTCGGTCTAGTGGCGGCCTGCAAAAGTTATGGCTTTTCTTTTTCTTTCTTTTGAGACAGTCTCACTTCATCGCGGGGGCTGGAGTGCAGTGGCGCGATCTCGCCTCACTGCCTGAGTTCAAGCGATTCTCCTGAGCAGCTGGGACTACAAGCACCCACCACCACGCCCAGCTAATTTTTGTATTTTTAGTAGAGATGGGGTTTCACCATGTGGGCCAGGCTGGTCTCGAACTCCTGACCTCAGGTGATCCGCCCACCTTGGCCTGCAAAGTGCTGAGATTACAGGTCTGAGCCACCGCTCCCATTCTCTGTCTCTGCCATTGGTCAAGCTCCTAGGGTAGGGAGGCGAGGCCGGCTTGGAGGGCTATGCCCCCTGGGATGGGCGGGTCTGTCTCCATCCTGATTCTTCCATTCCTGCTCCTTAGTCTCTGGAACAGTGCAGCCAGATCTCAGGCTCCTGAGCCCCAAGCAGAGACAGGGCATGGAGGGGCCCCAGTGGTGGGACCCTCAGCCAGGACCTTCACCTGTCTGTGCCTCAGTTTCTCCCTCTGAAAAATGGGGATAATGCTACCTAGCTCATAGACTGTTGAGGAGATTCAATGATATATAGATTCCTGGGCCGGCCCCGTGGCTCACTCTCTGTAATCCCAACACTTTGGGAGGCTTGGGGGAGGTGGGGAGGAATCCCTGAACCCAGGAGTTCGAGACCAGCACGGATAAACATAGGGAGACCCAGGTCTCTACAAAAAAATTTT